GCAAGATGGAGCTCTTCCGCCGGGCCTTCGGATGAGGCACTGGACATCCAAATAGATCTCGGCCTCCCCTGCTGAAAATGCTGACCAAATGGATCCAGCTCAAACTGAGCACTGCTGTCGAGGCGAATCCACTCTGATCGTGTTTCGTTTATGTTTTAAAAGAAATATGGTTTTAACTATTTGATTATATTGTTATTTTGTAATTTGTAACCCGCCCTGAACCCACTTGTGGGGAGATGGGATAAAAAGGAAAAATATGTGTAATTTCTGTACCGCTAAAGGTGTCTATGTGAATACGGATGCTGTGCTTCCGTTCCTTCTGGTGGTTCCCAAATTCTAAAATCCTAGAAGAAATCAACCCAGATTGTTCCCTGGAAGGCCAGATACTGAAGCTGAAGCTCAAATCCTTTGGCCACCAAATGAGAAGGGAGCACTCACTGGAGGATGGGAAAGACGGAAGGTCAAAGAAGAAGGGAATGGCAAAGGATGAGATGGACAGACAGTGTCACCGAGGCAACAAACATGAAATTAAGCAGACTCTGGAGGACGACGGAAGACGGGAGGGCCTAGCGTGATGTGGTCCACGGGGTCGCGAAGAGGACTCGACTGTGCGACTGAACAACAACAATTGACTCACTATGTGTAATCTGTCTTCGGCCCCTGTGAGAAAGGTGGGCTATAAATAACGTTAATAAATTTTAAAAAATAAGAAATGATTTGGCTGTTGCGTTGGCCTCTGTAGTGTTTGTATCCATTTGATGACTAGCTATGATGTTTCTGAGTGCTCCCCATTCCCAGTGCTTTGTTAGGCGCCTTGAGGCTGAGGAAATAAGATGGGATATAAATATTTGAAATCGCTCACTAACTGTGGTCCTTGGGTTTACTGGAACTTGGGGGCACCCGATGCAGATGAGGACAATAGGAGCAGGACGGACCAAAGGAAATGTGTGTGTGTGTGTGGAGTGTAAAGTGGCAGCCAACTTATGGTGACCCCTCATTGTGGTTTTCGAGGCAAGGGGCATTCAGAGGTGGTTTGCCCTTGCCTGCCTCTGCGCAGCCACCCTGGACTTCCTCCGTGGTCTCCCATCCAGGGCTGACCCTCCTTGGGATCTGACAAGATCAGACTAGCCTAGATCATCCAGGCGAAGGTATGAAAGGAAATACTTCTACTGAAATTGCGGAGTTCACTGCCAGCGAATGTAAGTAATGGGCATGAGTGTTTCCGAGAGGATTAGACATGGACAGGGGTCATTTCCTGCAGGAGCGCACAGGAGCGGAGCTCCGGCAGTAAAGAGCCCAGGGGGCGGGCACATGCAACAAGCCCCGCCCCCTGCTCCCAGCAGCCCTCAGTCAGAGCAAGAAGCAGCCAGGTAAGTTGCAGAGCCCCCCCTCTATCCAAAACAGTCCAGTGACACCTTTAAGACCAGGTTTTATTCAGGTACAAGCTCTCCCTCCTTTGTGAAGGCAGATCTGCACGTTCTCCCCCCCCCCCCAGTAGCTAACAATCCAAAACAGTCCAGTGGAGCCTGAGCGGTGGGTGTTGCCTTCTGACACACTTCCAGTGATGTCAGGGGGTGTGGCATATGCAAATGAGTTATGCAAATGAGTTATGCTAATAAGCTCCTGCACCTCTTTTTCTACTAAATGACCCCTGGACATGGAGGAGAGGACCACCACGTCCAGGGGCAGTAAATCTCCACAGCATTAATACGCAACAGCAGGGGAAGACCTCAGCCTTTATCTCCTTCTGGTGGCCCTCCAGGGCACCCTGGTTGTCCACCCTGTGAAACAGGACCCTAGACTAGACTAGACTAGATCTCTTCTTCTAGACTAGATGGACCACACATCCAATCCAGCAAGGCAAAGCCTTGACCTTTGCCGCCTTTTGTTGGCACCTCCAGCAGGGCACCTCTGAGATCTGTTTCTAAATATTCCGCATCAGCTCTGGGAAGCAGAATATGGAGTCTCCCCCCAGCAGCTGAGCCAATTTACAGATTTAAAAAGAGAGAGAGAGAGAATTAAGATACCACATTATTAGTGCAGCTGTGCTCAGTAGCACTTGTGGTTGGGTGCTAGTGTTCTTCCTTGTTAATTGTGGTCTTCTCCATGCATAAGTGTGTGTGTGGGAGTAGTCGAGAGGCAAGGTCACGCTGTACAAAATGTCCCAAAGTGACCTTCTGACAGGAAGGAAGTTGATTCCTTTGAAATGTGGTGTCGGAGGAGAGTTTTACGGGTACCCTGGGCCGCCAGAAAGACACCTCGTGGGTTCTAGGTCAATTCAAGCCTGAATTCTCCCTAAAATGACCAAATTGAGGCTATCATACTTTGGTCCTGTTCTGAGAAGATAAGATAAATTGTTAAGATTCTTATTGAGTAAGTCAGCAGAGTATTAAGAGACTGAGTCCATGGTGTGTTTTAAAATTTAAAGGTTTACTATAAACCTAACATGGGAAAAAGTTCCCTGGCATTCTATTGTCTAAACAGATTGGTTACAAACAAACATGTGACTTAACATACATCATTAACCCTGTAAATACTGAAGTGTTTTGACTTGTAACACCCAACATAAATCCTGGTAGGTAGCTATGTTGGTGGGAAGCAACAGAACAAAGTTTGTCTCCAGTGGCACCTTTAAGACTGACAAAGCTTAATTCTGGGTATCAGCTTTTGCTTGCATCCGAAGAAGTGTGCACGGACAGGAAAGCTTATTCCCATAATTCAATATTGTTGGTCTTAACGGTGCCACTGGACTCAAAACTTTGCAAAGACGAGAGTCGCTGGGAAATGCTAGGAAAAGTCGAAGGTTGGAGGAAAAAGAGGAAGACCTAACATAGAATCATAGAGTTGGAAGGGGCGATACAGACCATCTAGTCCAACCCCCTGCCCAATGCAGGACCAACAGGAGATGGGTTGACTCTATATAGCGGTGATGGCGAACCTTTTAGAGACCGAGTGCCCAAACTGCGACCCAAAACCCACTTATTCATCGCAAAGTGCCTACACGGCAGTTTAACCTGAATACTGAGGTTTTACTTTACAAAAAACAACTCATACATTAACTTAAGATGATCCAAACAAAGTAAGGAAAGCAATCCCAAATGCTTTCATTTACTTAAAATTATTTGGCAGAGAATTCGACACTTTAATGATGGTCTGGGCCTGGCTGGGGCGATGGCACGCGTGCCCACAGAGAGGGCTCTGAGTGCCACCTCTGGCACCCGTGCCATAGGTTCGCCACCACTGCTATATAGGAAGCCAGGGCCCTCAGTTTGCAAGACCTGAGCAAGGCTTTGATAAAGTGTGCACCCACACGAAAGCTCACCCCTTGAACAAACCTTTGTTGGGTCTTAAAGGTGTCAATGGGCTCTAAGTTTGTTGTACTGCTTCAGACCAACACGGCTGACCAACTGGATCTGAGCAAGGCTGTGAAACCCGGACAGGATGTCTTGGAAGCCCATTGATTCAGGTCGCCATAAGTCAGAAACAACTTGATTGCCCACCACACACACACACACAACCTTTTACCCCCATTCGATGGTCCCTCAAAGCTGTGGATTCCTGTGAGCAAAAATTCTACTTTGTGAGCTACCACCATTAAAGTTGTGAGCAGGAAGGTGATTTGACTAGTGCATACATTAGTTTGCTCTGGACAGGAGCCGTCCTTCCTGAGCCAAGACAAAAAGATGTGAGCCGGAGGGTCAAAAACTGAGCTATCTCACACTAAATCAGTTTAGAGGGAACACTGCCCCCATTTAGACCCCCCACAGCAATGCTCCCTCTAAGCTGTGGAGTTTTGTGAGCAAAAATTCTACTTGGTGAGCGACTGGCATTAAAGTTGTGAGTGAGCGATTTGACCAGTGCAGAAATCAGTTTGCTCTGGAGCCCTCCTTCCTCAGCTAAGACAAAAATGTGTGAGCTAGCACACACTAACTCAGCTTAGAGGGAACACTGCCCCCAAGCAATGTTCCCTCTAAGCTGCAGAGTCTTGTGAGCAAAAATTCTACTTTGTGAGCTACTGGCATTAAAGTTGTGTGAGCCATCGATTTGGCTACTGCCGAAATTAGTTTGCTCTGGGGCCATCCTTCTTGAGGTAAGACAAAAATGTGTGAGCCGGAGGGTAAAAAACTGTGAGCTAGCTCACACTAACTCAGCTTAGAGGGAACACTGCCCCCAAGCATCTCTCCGTCCCAATGGTGGCTCTGGGCCCCGGAACCTTCTTGCCCCAGCCGCTGGCCTCGCCCCTGAAGGTGCCTTGCATGGGCCTCGAGCTTGCAGGCCGCTCCGGACCAGTGTTCCCTCTAAGCTGAGTTAGTGTGAGCTAGCTCACAGTTTTTTAGCCTCCGGCTCACACATTTTTGTCTTCGCTCAGGAAGGAGGGCTCCAGAGTAACCTAATTTATGCAGCAGCCAAACCGCTCGCTCACAACTTTGATGCCAGTTGCTCACAAAGTAGAATTTTTGCTCACAAGACTCCACCGCTTAGAGGGAACATCGCTCCGGACGGGTAGTGTTTTGCAAGCAAGCACATCGGCCGGCCGGGCCTGGCGTGGAAGTGTCCCTCCGGCCGAGGCCAGCAGGCGTTGCGGCTCCGGGGAGGGGCTAGCCGCGGCCGCCCCTCCCCTGGGCAGGTTGCTGGCCCGCCCCTTTC